TAAATATTTTACTTAGAAAATATATAGCTAAAATTAATATATAAGTTTTTATTAAAAAAATTAAACTTTTTAATAAATACACAGGCAAATTTGCCTGTATTACAATTTAAGAGATAATTGCTTCCTTATAAACGTTTTTTAATTGTTTCTGACAATTAATAATTTTTGTTTATACTTTATATAGGTCGTGTTTAGTAAAATGTTACTCACATGTTATCGCTTCATTTTTACAGACTTTGCACAGTATTTTATAGTCACAGGTTAAGTTTAATTGTTTGCACTTTTCACACACAGTATATTTCTTTATAGTTTTATATGTAGGTGTTGTTTTGTAACTTTTAGAAGGTGTTATTTAGTATTTTGGCATGTTTAAGACTTGGTCAATTTTTTTGCATTTTTATAATTATTCTTTATCTTTTCATTTATATTTTTATATTTTTGTTTATGCACTTGCACCAGGCAAGACTTAAAAATATTTGTATTGATACGATTGATAATGGTTTAAAATAAATACATGATAAGAATATAACTAATTTAGTAAATAATAGAAGTTTCAAATATTGTTTATTTGATAAACTATTTATAGATAAATTAATATTTATTAATCCATCATGTTGTTTAATTCCTCAAATTGTTCAAATTCCTTTTCAATTGGTAAATTGTCAATTGAATTTCTAGAGAGTTCATTTAATTGGTTCACTCGCATTAGTACCTTTTCAAATCTAGGGTGTTGGAGTTATAAATTGTAAAATGCATTGAATCTTGAGAGTGTTGCTATTTTATAGTCTTGGTTGCTTTATATTAATTTTAATGCTTGCTCTGTTATTATAATTTCTTCGAGGTCTGAAATTTTTCTTTTTAATGCAGCATTTTCTCGTTTAAGGTAATTATTCTCTTCTTTTAATAATTTGATTTCTTCTTGGCTTTCTTGAATCTAAACACTATTGTGTTAGATCTCTTATCAATTTGAAATTGTTAACAACAATGAATGTCTTGCTAATGGTAACTCCAGTTTTCTTACAATTGATTTGATTTCTTTAAACTTTTCTTGTAAATCTGTTAAGTCAGGAATATTGTTTCTGTATTCTTCTAATAAAGGATCTTCAGAACTCTTGGAGGTATTATCTATTTCCTTATTTATTTCTTCTGGTAAAAAATATCTTTCTTTATTTACTGGTATATTAAAGGATTTATCTTTAATAGTTTCTTGTTCATGATATTCTTTTTTTTTTCTAAATTGTACTATCTTCGTACGTCTGATAATAAGTTTAAAATTTGGTTCTTATATTCCTCTTCTTTATAATTATATCCTGGTAAATAGCTTAATGAAGATGGTGGTGGGATGAAGTTATTTTCTCTGGTATCCATTGGTTCTTTAGATACTTCATCAAATATTTGGATAGGGTTTTCAAATGTCCCTTCTTTTGGTCTTTCAACAGATATTTGGGATATTTTATTTTTTTGTAACTCCCCGGAGTCTTTTCTTTTTAATAAGTTCCTTGAAATTTTTTTACAATTTTTGCACTGATGGATAATTTTTACGTTTGGTAATTGGGTAGTCTTTTCTTAATAGATTTCATACACATGCCATTGACCTTTATCATTTTTCCTTTTTACTTCTTTAGTTGAGGTTGGCTCGGATAAGTCATATTTTTGGCTAAATGTTACTACTTCTTTAATGGATCCGTCAGTTATTCGGCAGTTGTTATATCGAATAGAAATTATTTCTTCACTATAAGTTTTTGGGTTAAATTCCTATTTCCATGGCCTATATGTTGCTTGGTTTTGCTATTCTTTAATTTTTGCCTTGTTTTCTGCAATTTTTTCTGGTGTCAATGAGTTTTGAATTTCTTCAAAACACTCTAGACAAATTCCAAAAATCAAGTCTGGTATTTTCTTCAACATCAAACATTCTTGATATAATATGCAGCCTTTTGTTCCTTTTTTCTTGGCTATTTGGTTATTTGTTTGGGTAAGATTAGTGGAATAAGTTTTTGTTTTATTTCCTCCTTCATTAAAGTTTCTATTTAATAATTCATCATCATTTAGATCTGCTGCTAATATTGGCAAATGATGGTTAAATTGGTCCCCCACTCTGTTTTTACCCAGAATTGTAAGTTGTTCTCGCCTTTCAGAGTCTTCCTATTGGTCTCATAGTATATCTTTGAGGAATCGGAACATTCAAAAAATTTTTGATTTATTCATTGTTTGGTTTCTATAAATTTCTCAGTTATGTTTTTCAATTCTCATTGAACTCTTGATATGTCACAGCGTCTGTAGCTATAATAAAGTTCATATGCTACTTTTTCTTTCTTATCACAAAAGAAATTATACTCATAGTCGTATACTATATGTCTCTTCCAGTTTTCTTTAGAATATACAGTATATTTCCTTTTATTTCCTTTTCCTAATTCCATTTCTTGGTATTCAATGGATCTTTGATCTAAGACTGGAAGGTGTTCACTATATTCTTGATAGCATCTTTTACAAACTATTTTATCTAAAAAAAATTCATTCTGTAGTTGTAAGGGTTGACATAATTCTCTTTTGGTAAAAAGAATAAGTCTTTTGTGATGATTTGGTAACATTCTACATTGCAACAGTGATAAATATTTGGTCCAGTTTTCCTAATAAAATTAACATCACATCCACATTTAATATTTTCATTATTTCTAATTAATTGCTTTGGGATTCATCCTGCTTGAGTATTGTAATATTCTTCATTTTGATTAGCATCCTTAGAGGATTCTTGTCTTGTATCATTTTCTAATAACACCAAAATTTTGTGAAATATAAACATTTTAAATATAGAAAGCTTGGACTATGTATAGGTGAAATAATTTTGTAAGTAATTATTTATGATTTATTATTTACTTACTATTTATCACTTTGATCTCAGGTACACATTACTCTGGTTATACCGTCATCTGAATATAATGGCATTATAGTAAAATCTTTCTATATCACCATTTTTTCAAAATTATTATATAAAATGTTGATATAACTCACTGTATTGATATTTTGAAATTTTTTATTAATGAAAAAATATGTCAACATAACCAGAGTAACATGTAATATGATCTCACCTTGCTGCTTCACGCGATAAACAGTCTGTATCCTAGTATTCCTAGCATCATACTAATTTTTTAATGATTAATAATTTTTTAGTGAGCAATCTCGATACACAAATTTAGCAAGTGTGCAAGGACGAATAAAATTATTGGTTCATAATTCATTCATAGTATTTTTTTTAATTATCCGTATTTATATATCGATATTTAAAAATCAAAGCCTACTGTGTCATCTAACGAATGAAGATTTTTGTAGACGTTGTGAAGGTCGATCATACAGCATCCGACATAGTACAATTTCTTTATTTCGTTTTATATATTTAATTTAGAGGTTTGCTATTTATCGCCTATGGTAATCATCGCCGGCATCACGTGATTATAATTAACCAATAAAAGTTAAATTTATTAATATACAAATTTATATACCAATAGTACAAATTAAAATTCAAAATAAAAATTCCCCAAACCCTAACTCTAACGCTTGTGTCAAAATTTTTTATGGTAGTTACGTACGTACGTACGTACATACACGTTATCACAACAAATAATTTAGAATATCAATACTTTGGCACTTCTTAGATACATACGTACGTACATAATACTTATCTGAACCCTAATTTAGGCTAATCGATACCCAAAGCAAGATATATATGCGCAACACAACATAATCTACAACTATATTAGGATAGAATATAGCACGAGATGTCTTTTTGACAACAAATTCATAACTATGTATCACAAATTTTGTTGTCAAATAAGGTAATAGCAATAGCTTTCACAATTTCTAAATTTTGACAGCATACAAAGTCTTCGATCATCTAAATCTAATCTTAATTCTAGTACTTATGTTAAGAACCTAACACTATCATTACAGCATAAATTTGCACATGAATTAGTACTCACTATTTTCCTTATCGATAGAGTCATTTTTTTGCTTTTTGCATCCTCTAATATTATGTCCCTTTTCTTGACAGTAGCTACAGGTCTTAGAAGATGATGCTATGTATTGATTATTGTTCTCTTCAGTTGATGGCTTAAGACGCTTTGGGGACGACCTCTTGGTTTGTGATATTCCGGATTTGTTATTTCAGGAAGGTTACTAATATCATTATCTAAGGGATATTCATTGGTTTTTAAAATGGATAATCCACTAATTCCAACCTTTAACTGACATGTTTCTTCTATATTTAACCCAGTATTATGACAATGTTTCATTATAAATTGTGTGAGAAGCCCTGTTAATTCAGATGTTACGCCTTCTGCAACAGCAACTTGGACACTAGTTTTTGCAACAGACATTGTAGTACCAAATTCAATTCTTTTGTCTACCTTTTTTCGAATAGTTGAAGTTTAGACATTATAAGTTCAGATTTGATCAATATAGTGCAAAGATTCAGTAGTATAGCTTTTAACACCTTGAAAAATTATAATGTAGCTTGAAACTTCAGATGGTGCTGATTCGAACTAGCGTAAATGAATAAAGCCCATGTAGAATACTGCTTTATCGGATTGAAGAAGAACTTAATATTGATGCCGACACAGCATTTCTAAATTGATCATGTACATACACGTACAAAGCATTGTTGAGTCAAAGAGAATCACCACATAATGTGGATTAGACGCTGCTACAATATGATTGATTTTCCATATCTCTTGAACTTCATTATTGTTTATGTTTGACAAGAGTTCTTCCAATCTAACTTGTGGCATATTATATAAGTGCTCAATCGCACTATCGGAATCATTCTTAGGTTCTTTGGCCTTCAAAATATACATAATTAGCAAGTTTTAAAAGAACATTATTGATTAATTATTTAATAAGCCTTACTTGATCTATTGTAGTTAATAATCCTTGGTACAATAATGCCTGTTTCATTTGCGCTCTCTGGAGTGACAATGGAATAGGTGCTAAATGTTCTTTTAAAACAGAATCAATGTTTTTAAAAATAGTATTGTAGGTTGATGGAAGACCAGTTGATGGATTTGAACCATAGTAGTCATTAAGACAACTGTATTGTGCTTCTTTATCTAACTCATTCTCGACCACTCTTACTAATTCCTTTAATAATGTTCTTCGATCCAAATGTTTTTTAAGAACACTATTAATAGATTCAACCCGTTGAGTAGATTCAACCCCTGCTGTGAATATTTTTGCGATTGAATACCTTGCCCATGATTCACGACTTGGATAAAGCTTTTTTTCAAGGTAATTTCGACAGGGCTCATATTTAGCAATCATTTTTTCATACTCGGATTCAAATTGAGATTGATTATAACTATTGTGCATACGGTAAAAATCTCCAATAAAATTCTTGTTCATGTCCCCGTTCAATTTTGATTTCGCCTTTTTTTTTACATTTTCTGTAACATGATAAATACATAGCAAATGATGGGTTTGTGGATAAACGAGCTATATCAATAGAATTAAAATTATAGTAAGTCAACCTAAAAATACTCAATTTAACCACCTATGCAAATTTAACAACACTGACCTGTACAGTAGCTAACATTGCGGGATCGCCATCTGTGAATAATACTGTAGGTAAGAGATTATCAGTAGCTTCTAATGTGCTTTGCAGTATCCAGTTATAATCAGCAAATGTTTCATATTTAGTTAAGGCCTGCGCAAGGATCCTTGTTTTAAAGTTACTATCGATGCCAACAAAAATACTAAGTGCCATTTCATATCTATTTGTCTTGGCTGTATTGTCATGTATGACAACATCATGATATTTTGGCCAAAGCTCATTGCGCTGTTCACTTGTCATCCAGAAAAGCCCAGTAAGTTTGTTAGATGGTCCTTCTAATCGCATTGCAACAAAACACTCGGGATCTTTATCACGTTTTTCCATAAGATATTAGAACATTGTAGCTGCATCAGACTCATCGTGAATTCGGACACCTCGAAACTTTTGGATTGCATTGTATAGGTTCTTTTTTTTTATATTGTACTGAGGAAAATCTATAAGAAGAAGTTTATATTGTTGTCCAGCATTTAGGTGTCCATTTGTAGTATAGTGCTTGATTTTATCAAGAATAATTGGTGGAAATTTTAAATTCTTAGGTGCTAATTCTATAGTTTCTGGATCACATAGATGATTATGGTCATCAATGATGCTAGTAAGGTGTATAGCGGTTGCGTGTTTTCCAAAGTTAAAGCTTGCTTGCCATTGACAATTCGTTTTAACTGTAGTACTGTCACGATGTAAGCTAATATCCTCCACCTTTTTTTGGATTATGAACCCAGCTTTCCAACATTTGTATACACGCCGTCGAACAATGGTTTTGTCGATAGCATCAAGGTCTTTACGGTATTTAATGGCCACAAACCCCTTTTGCTTCGCGTATCTATTGACAACAATATCAACCTCCTTCCAGTTATTAAAAGGATCATTTACTTTTAGTGTTGTTTCATTTACTTTCAGTGTTGTTTCATTTACTTCTAATGCTGTTTCATTTATATTGGTATTGTCATCAGTACTAATACAAGCAATATTTGTATAGCCTTCATATTCGTTCACATTATCCACAAAAGATGACGATTGACCTTGATTCTCAAAATCCATAACCGAATCAGAAGCAAACTCCAAAATCGAATAAGAGGCTTATCAACTACTTATAATGTAAATTTAAGTATCTTGTTAAAAAGGATGGTAAGTAACAAATGAAAGGGTGTTCAATAGTCACTAAATCATTTACCTGTGTTTCCTTATATAGTGACTAGAAGATAAAAAATATTCAGATATAGAAAATCAGGTATCGCTTATGAGTGTAGAGAATAAAGATAACGTGTGCAAATAACAAGTCGTCTATTTAATTTTGTGGTAATAAGAACTACTAAATCGTGAGTTTTTGGGTATCGATTGTGAGAAAGTAAATTATGATGCAGTGATGTAAACAAATAATGCATCGATCATGATCGAAGATAATAAAGGTAACCGTGTGCAAATAATAAGTCGTCTGTCGGTAATGAGAACTGCTAAAATCGTGAGTTTTTGGGTATCGATTGTGAGAAAGTAAAGAAAGAATTAATTACAATGCAGTGATGTAAACAAATAATGCATTTAATAAAGTCGGGCATTAAATTTTGCTTTTACTTCAATTTGTAATGGCTACGATTATTTTTTTTACTCAGATTTGATTCATGACACTGGTGACGATCACCATAGGCGATACAAAGTAATTTTGAATACTTATTAATATCTTAATTAACTATCTCAAACAGACACAATCTATTAAAACATATTTTAACAAATACAAAATAGGGTTTATTAAATAATTTCTTAATATATATAACAATTTGTTACTAGAATAGAAGCAATTCTATTATAGTATTAACAAAATATCTTGTAGCAAAACTTTTAAATAGTTTTTTTTTTTTTTAATTTTTAGGGGATACCCTGGGTGTAGCACCCACCCCAAACTTTTATTAATACTTAAGTAGATTGATATATGGTGGTGCCATAAACATATACATATTACATATTGGTATGAGACTAGAACTTTAGGTATACAAACCATTTATCTACACCTAAAACCAAACATATTAAATTCTCTACACCTTTACTCACTAATCCAACAACTCTCTATAGACCTTTTTTTTTTTTTTTTTTTTTTTGGTATTAAGGTGACCTCTTTGGTCTGGAGAACTTTTTATTAGAGTATAGACGGAGTTTTATATGTAATTACAACGATGGTACATCAAGCCACACGTGCACCTTTTGAGTGCCTATTTAAGTAGTCCGC